TACGGATTCCTCAATAACTTCTGTGTATGCGTTATTTAACACACACAAAGTCAAATAAAAAAAGCAAATGGAAAGCTGAAGAGTTTTATTTTTACATAGAGGGCTATAAGGATGTGGAATGCCCTACCTGGAATGGTGAATAACTGCCAAGGGGCAATTAAATTAATATATGAAAAGTTGAAATATAAATAGACATAAGACAGGAGAATGGAACTAAATAGATAGCTCTTTCAAAGTGCCAGCATAGGTACAGTGGGCCAAACATAACTGTCTGTGCAATACATTTCTATGGCCCTAAATTTTAAATAACCTTATTTAAAGAAATACTGTCCATACTGAAAAGCATTTAACAAAAGGTTTCTACACATTTAAAACCACTTGCATTGACCTATGTGTCATCAAAATGCATTTACTTGTTTGTGAATCTATTACCCATTTTTTCTTAAGGAAACTATTGGACTGTAAATTGTATTGCAATGTGAAATCTATTTTGCCTTTAAATATTGTGAGGCTTCATATTTAAATATCTCCAATGCAGACAATTTCAGGACAATCTCATTGCTCTTGTCACTTTAGTGTAATTCAGGGTTGTCTCAGCTGATCTGGGAGAGTTGGCAGCTGGGTGCCAAAATAAAGCAGCTTATTTTATTTATGGTGCAAATATCATGATAGATAACTAGGGAAAAGGCCACATTCACAAAGAATGATAGCCATATATCTGAGAGCCCATGCCAGATAACCATTTGTTTGCTTATCTGCACTGGGACTGAAATCTTAGAATTAATTCAGTGACATTTCGTGCAGAAATTTATTTGCGCACAGGATTTACTGTAGGCAAACATACATAGGAGCTGAGCTGGCCCTGTATGTGGAAGTCAAAAGTGGCTTCAACAACAACTTGCATTTACATGGTGCCTTTCATACAAGTAGCATCTTGGAACACTTAAACTGTAAGGTACAGTGTATTATTAGTGTCAGTATGACTCTTGATGGAAGAAATGTTTGAATAGTACTGTACATTGCATTTTGTGTGATGACCTGATATCTGCATATTTTGATATTTTCCCATATTTTCACACCAGGGCAAGTCCCAGTTAGTTTGCATAAATGGGCCATGAAAACACGTTCTTTCTGATAACTATCACAAGAAATACATTTCATAACAGAGGCCTACATAGAATCTATAGCACTGAAACAGGCCATTTTGACCAATTAGTCAGTGCTAGTGTTTATACTCCACATGCGCCATGCCGATCCTAATCCTCAGCCTCTCCCATATCCATCTATTCCCTTCTATCTCATTAAAATACTAATGATTTTCACCCACTTCTTAATTAAGTCCCTGCCACTTTGTTGATCAGATCTGTCTCTGTACTGGAACTGGAGGCACCCTCAAATTGTTACTTCACATCCCTATTTAAATTTTGTTGAATGCTGCACATCTTTTGTTTGGTTTGCCGGATAGACAGCTGACTTTTTACTTTAGGCATAATTAAAGAATGACAAACAACAAGACTTAGAAAAATCAGTTCACTGAGTTGTGCAGTGTACATTGTGTAAGATTTCAAATCATCTGCTCCTGTGCTTGCCTCTTGCATGTTCTGCACTTCCTCTCATTGGATGTGTTCCTCTAAGTGCTCCCCCAGTTGAAGAAGTTCAGAAGATCACAGGATTGGTTTGAATGAAGACAATCCTTTGTCCCATTTGATCTAATCCTTCCAGACTACCTATCCCACTAGCCTCAAGCTGTCTCTTTTAATTGAATCCAACCTCTTGGCCTTGCACTGTTGGATGGCTGTAAAGCCAACTGAGAACATGCAAAACCAAAGTCCACATCTTGTCCCTCTAACTAATCCTCTTGGACCAGCATTGGTACCAAGGGTATCTGCATAATTCTGCAGTCACAGCAGGCTCAATGCTCTCTGAGGCAACGAATAAGGGCTCCTCTCTCACTGCTTCAATTTAACCATGTTTTAAATATGCCCAACATAAACACAAAATAATCAGCTACAATTTAGTACTTGGGAGTATTTAAACAATAAGTTTCCAGATTTCACATAAATAAAATTATATTGATGAAATCAACATTTTTTGACATCAATAGTATTAAATTAATGGAGCAACCTAAATTAAGTAAATTTGTCGGTTGCCTGGAAAAGCTCTGCAACGAATAACATTTACCAGATCCCAATAACATTTTGCACAAGAATTTAATGGAAACAAATAAATTAACAAATGCAATAAATAATAAATTCTGAACCAATAATTTTACCAGTTATCACTGAAAATGCCTTGTGAACCTGGACAGTTAAAACAAATCAATTACATCAATTACAACTGATGAATTGAACTATTTATATATCCTTCATTTAAACATTAATTTTATCCTTTGAAAATACATTTTGCAGATCTTTTTTCACCACTTGCTGTGTTCTCAGATGTGCTCTCCTGGCTGTAACTCAAGTTCTGTTCAACGTGCTGATTGCTGCCTCTTGGGTTCAGTTGCCACTTTTTTCTTTCAATGCTGTCAGCCCACCTGGATAATCTGAAGAAACCTTGCAGTACCAGATGATTTGATTTGAACCCTGAGGGTTTCAGAACTGCAAGCACACAAAGGGCAAACCACAAAGCACCCTTTTCAGACATTTATTACAAACCTTGAATATCTTAGACGGAAATTTACTGGCATGGGCTGCTGCTGGGGTTTGAGATGGGGGGGAAGGAAGTTACTTTAATATCTACATACTTCCCCTTAATGACATCATCTGCAGACATGTACTTCTATATGTATGCGGATGACACCCAACTTTATCTTTCTGCCTCCACCCTCAACTCCACAACCACTGCTGTCCTGACAGACTAACTGTCGGACATCAAGTCCTGGATGAGGGCAAATTTCCGACAGTTGAATGTGAACAAGACTTAGGCCCTCCTGATTGGCTCCGGCCAGCGCCTCTGCAACTCAGGCTCCGGCAGCATCAACCTCCATGGTTGCACACAACTCACCAAGACAGTCAGGAACCGAGGTGTCTTGTTCGACCCTCAACTGTCTTTTCTTCCCCACATCCAAACCATGACCCTCTCTGCCTTCCCTCACCTCCGTAACATTGCCCGACTCCGCCACTACCTCACCCCTCAGGCCGTTTTTATAGAATTAAAACAGATTCATAGAATGTTACGGCACAGAAGGAGGCCATTTGGCCCATCGAGTCTATGCCGGCTCTTTGACAGAGCAAGTCACTTTCACTAACCCCAATCACCAGCTTTCTCCCCATAACCCTGCAAATCTGTCTTCCCTAGATATCTATCTCTCTCTCTTTCAAGAGTTCTCTCTTAAAAACTGTTATTAAAGGAAGTTACTTTAATATCTATATGCTCCCCCTTAAGGACATCATCATTCCGTTCATCAATAGTTCAGTTGAAACTCTTGTTCATGCCTTCATCACCTCCATGCTCAACTATGCAAACGTCCTGCTTGTCGGCCTTCCCAACTCCTCCCTCCACAGGCTGCAGATAATTCACTACTCGGCAGCCCGTGTCCTTTCCCGCACCAAACTCTGTGACTCCCATCTCCCCCATTCTCGTCCGACTCCATTGGCTCCCTATCCTTCAGAGGACTCAGTTCAAGATCCTGGTCCTCACCTACAAAACCCTCCATGGCCTCTCCCCACCCAACCTCTGTGACATCCTAACCCCCTATCAACCCGCCCACTCAGCTGGCTCTGGCCTGCTTCCCGTCCCAACCGACCCGCCCCACCATTGGCGGGAGACTTCAGCCACTCTGCCCGCAACCTCTGGAATTCCATCCCCCAGTCATTCCGCCTCACCCCCTCCTTAGCCTCCTTCAAGTTCCACCTCAAGACCCTCCTCTTCGGCCATGCCATTGGCCACCCCCCTTCCCCTTCCCCGACCCCAGCTCGGGTCTGAAATACTGTACACTGTTCAGCGCCTTGGGACGTCCTGCCGATGTGAAAGGCACTGTACAAATGTAATCTGAAGGCATGGTTGAAGAGAAAGGTCTTGAGACCGGCCTTGAAGGAGGAAAGGGAGGAAGCAAGGCCAAGGCACTGGGGGATGGAGTTCCAGAGAATAGGGGCTGAGAGGCTGAAGGCCCGGCCACCAATGGTAGGGCGGTTGGGGCGGGGAGCAGACCGGAGCCAGAAGAACGGAAGGTACGGGCAGGTACGTGGGTGGATAGTAGGTCGGAGAGGTTGAAGGGAGCAAGGCCGTGAATGGCCTTGTAGGTGAGGATGAGGACCTTGAATTCGATCCTCTGGGGGATGGGGAGCCAGTGGAGGCGAGCGAGGGTGGGAGTGATGTGGTCCCGAAGCCTGGTGCAGGACAGTACACGAGCTGCAGAGTTCTGAATGACCTGCAGCTTGTGGAGGGAGGTGCCGGGAAGGCCGACAAGGAGAGAGTTCCCGTAGTCCAGGCTTGAGGTGATAAAGGCGTGGACCAGTGTTTCAGCAGCGTGAGGGGTGAGGTAGTGCCGTAGTCTGGCGATGTTCCGGAGGTGTAAGGCGGTGCCAGCTGTGGTACGGATTTGGGAAAGAAAGGACAGCTCAGGGTCGAACAGAACACCGAGGTTCCTGACCGGCTTTGAGAGGTGGAGAGTGCAGCCTTGGATGCTGATGCTGTCAGCGCCTGAGGTGCGGAGGCGCTGACGTGAGCCAATCAGGAGGGCCTCAATTTTGCCCACATTGAGCTGAAGAAAGTTGTCTCTCATCCAGGACTCGATGTCAGAGAGGCAGGTTGTCAGGACATCGGTGGTCGTGGAGTTGAGGGTAGAAGAGGAAAGGTGGAGTTGGGTATCATCCACATACATGTGGAAGTTAACCCCATGGCTGCGGATGATGCCACCAAGGGGGAGCATATAGAGGGTGAAGAGGAGGGAACCGAGGACAGAGCCCTGAGGGCCACCGCACAAAACAGTGCGGGGGCTGGAGAAAGCTGTTTGCAGAGATGTGGATGTATTTCAGTTTAACTCCTGAAATACATCCACATTATCGTACTGTGTTAAGCTATTGAATCACCTGACATATTGTTATATTCTGTGATGCACAAGTGCAAAATCTGTGCATGGATCTATTCTTGAAGTGCAATTCATATGAATTGCCACGAAAAACAAATGTTTTCTTCCAGGTTGAATTTTCACATTCTCCAGGATATCCAAATCCCAGGATATCTGCCTCCCAAAAATCTATAGCGTTGCTTCTTCTTTGTGGGTTGCCTGTCTTTTCAGGCCTGGATCCACCACCTGCAGAAGTCAGGATGATTGAGACAGGGTGATTTGGGCCATGATAAATTTACTTTAATGTATTAGCCCTTCCATCATAGTGTGTTCCTAACAATTTATTACAATCAATCTGTCCTCCAATCAGTCTTAAATATACATTATATATTTAGTGTAAAATGCATTATTGAGATGCATAATAAATTAAATAAGCATCTGCCTATTCTTATTTTTGTATTTTGGGTGGATATTAAAGATCCGATAGTATTATTTCATAGAGCAGGAGTTTTCCTAGTGTCTTAGTCAATATTCCTCCCTGATTCAAGAATAAGTCAAAAATATTTTTTTAAATTTAATTCAATGTTCTTTGTCGTGTTGCTGTCATAAATTAGCTACTGCATTTGCATCACACTTGACAGTAACTCACTGTATGAAGAAGCTCCTTGAGATATTTCAATGTGGTAGGGGTTCATAACAAATGCAAGTTTTTATGATTGCAATTTGTTTTAACACTGCTATTTTCACATTTGTCATTTCCACAGCAAATAATTTCTTAAATAATTATCTGATAGTAGTGTCAGCATACATAATTTCAATTTTAACTAGTATTTGCTGTGCGCAAATTGGCCACTACGTTTGTCTACAACGCAGTCACTACACTTTATAGTAAATCCTGTAAGATCCTCCTGGAAACATCCTTTGTCCTGTATTGAATGTAAATGATTGTTATTATATGCAAATGGTGCAGTAATACTGCTGCATACTAATATTTTACTATTGTATTTTATTGCTTCGTTCTAAATAATGTAGGTTTTTTGGGCACACCTTAGTTTTCCGAGTGGTGAGACATTGTTGACTCTGGTTATTTCCTGTAATCACTTCTTCCTGTTGGAAGAATGATAACCATTAAAAATGAGTTGATAATAATAATAATCCTTACATCTGATATAGTGTCTTTCACATCTGGAACATGTCTCAAAATGCTTCACAGGATATACTATCAAGTGTATTGATTTTGTATTTTGTAGGCAAACAAACTGATTCCCAGGCAGGACGAAACATTGGGCAGGTTTCTTTACTCCTTCATTACTCCACACGAATACCTCTGTTTACCTAGCAGTAAGTGGAAACCCAGGTTGTTATTCAATTGGCAGATTGCTTTTCTGGGGGACGTAATCTCTCTCTAAAAAAAATTTGATCACTCAATCCACGACTGTTTGCGGAACACTGCTGTGCTAAATTGGCTGCCGCATGTTCCCCAGAAAATATACAGTCAATTCACTTTACAGTATGTTCTGTGAAGCGCTTTGAGACGTCTTGAAGATGTGATAAGGCACTATATCAAACACAAGGATTATTATTAGTATTAAACATATCATTCCAGGACTGACTGCACTAGCATATCCTGGCTTTGATATTGAAATTGGGCTGTGATACTTTAATGTCCTAACGTATCATCTTACAATTTCACACTCAGTAGCGGATATAGCGTCTTTGTTGTTTTTACGAGACCTAATGGGAAAATTAAGGCCCTGTGCAAGTATGATAATACCACCATCAAAGGGCCTTTTCATCGATTATAATTCTGCCATTAAGTCTAAAACAAGTTATTTGAACATGCTTTTAATGTCCCCTTTTTTACTTCTGGACGACGCGATATTATTGCCTTAGATGAAAACATTCATAAATTGCACTTTATTCCTACTTTTTTTTCAAAATAGAACAATTCTAAATCCTGAGGCTCTACTTAGCACATCCCCTAACTGTGTCAACATTGGTGAACCAAGTGAATTGACATGAATCTTACCAGATATATCACCTCGAGAGCACCGCCACTATGTCTTCTTCATTGATTTCTTTTCTTTCTTTTCAGTCTTCACACACCATACATCCTTCGCAACTGGGAAGACAGATGTTAAAGCTGTTCCCTGTCCTTATCAATATCACTGACTTGGCCCTTCAGGAACCCCATCCAATACCAAATGCAAAGACTGATTTATTTAATTTCAATCTGTTTAGCAGTTTGAATCAATCGGCTCAAAGTAAAACGATAAGCTACACCGACCGGAGTTCTTCCCACTCCGCTCCTGTTAAACCTGTAACCCAAAGCCCCAGTGACTAACAAGATGGCGAAGGTCGGGGGGTGGGGTTCACGAGGCGCCCCTGAACCTTGAGGCGCACGGGGGGCGGCTGTGGGCCGTCCAGACTCGAGTTGTGCCGTCGGGAGCCCCCGGGGGGGGGGGCTCGAGGTCGCGGTGTCCCGCGGCCGGGGAGCCTGGAGTGGAGTCGGAGGTCGACCCCACCCGGGATCGGGGCCCGAGGCGCCCGGAGCGAGGCCGGGACTCGGCGCCTCGGGCGGGACCCGCGGTTCAACGTCCAGTGGACGATAGGGACGCGGTGGGAGGCGGCGCCTGGAGCGGCTCTGCGGCGAGCGGGACCCGCGGCGAAGCCGACTCGAGGTTTGAGGCTTTCCCCGGTGAGGAGTTCGACGCCCCGAACGGTGACAAGACCCCGCGCGGGGCCCGAGGCCCATCACCTCGGCGGGTCCTCCCCAACAGCGCCCGCGCCACCATCCGGGACTCTCTGAGGGCTCAGCCAATCAACGACCGGCTGCCGTGTGACGTCACCCCGCCCGCCTCATTTGAATCTCGAGGCCAGGACTCACTGGTAAGACATCACCGCCCCATCTCATTGAGCCTCACCAGCCCAGCCCAATCCAGCTCAGCCCAGTCCAGCCCAGCTCAGCCCAATCCAGCCCAGCGCAGCTCAGCCCAGCTCAGCCCAATCCAGCCCAGCTCAGCCCAGCCCAGCTCAGCCCAGCTCAGCCCAGTCCAGCCCAGCTCAGTCCAGCCCAGCTCAGCCCAATCCAGCGCAGCCCAATCCAGCCCAGCCCAGCTCAGCCCAGCGGGATAACCATGGCTCGCTGAACACTCCTGTCCGCTCCAAGTCTCAGCATGCGCATATTGGCTGCCGCAATTGACCTGAGCTGTTTCCCCAAGATGTTCCCGACCCCATCCTCTTCCTTCCACTACTCCCACTCAACCCTCCTCTCCCTCTGCCTGCGCCGACTCCTATCACTCCTCGACTCCCCCATGGCCTCCCTCTGCTCCTCCCTTCACATTCTCCGTCGAGCCCACCGTGGTAGACGCTGTCGGCTGTTCTACAGCACCCATCCTGACAGCCCCTTCCACATCCCTATCCAACCCGCCTGCTCACCCCTCCCACCCCTCATCCCCCCACACACCCACCACTAACTGTTCCCTCCGCATCGGTCTGCAGAACGTCCGCTCATTAACCAACAAGTCCCTCACAATTCATGACCTCACAGTCGAGGAAAATATCAACATCCTCACCCTCACAGAAACCTGGGTCACCCCAGGCGACACCTTCTCACTAATTGAGGCCACACCGCCAGGTTACACCTTTCACCAAACCCCACGGCCTAATCGCCATGGCGGTGGTGTGGCTCTCATCTCCCGGTCCCCATTTGGCCTTTCCCCTAACTTCTCTAGAACCTTCCCCTCCTTTGAACACCTTACCCTCTACCACCCCTCCAGGCTTTCTTTCAAAATCCTCCTTGTTTACTGTCTCCCCAAGCCTACCCCCACCTTCCTCTCGGACATCTCCACCCTCCTATCTTCCCTCTCCCTCTGCTCTGAACGCCTCCTTATCTTAGGTGACTTCAACCTCCATTTCACCCCCTCCTGCTCTACCTCTGCCGACTTCTCCCTCCTCCCTTCCCTCAACTTCTCCCTCCTCATCCACTCCCCCACCCACGTCCGTAGCCAACCCCTTGACCTGGTGATCACCCGGGGCCTCAACGTCTCGGACATCACCATCATCGATCAAGCCATCTCGGACCACCACTTCATCTCCCTCAACACCTTAGTACCCCTTCCCCCTTCCCAATCCTCCACCATTACATACCGTCCATGGAAAAAAAATCCTCCCTCTCCACTGCCCTGGAGTCATCTGAATTCCTACACCTCTGGCCCTCACTGACCGATCTTCCCTCTTCACTCTCCTTTCTCCCCAACTCCCTCGCCTCCATTCTGGACTCCCTTGCCCCCCTCACCTCCCGAACTGCCTCATACTCCCGTAAATTACTCTGGTACACCAGCAATCTCTGTTCCCTCAAGGCACAAGTGCGAGCTGCTGAACGAGCCTGGACCAAATCCAAACTAACGGTCCATCGGCAGATTTGGCTTCACCACACCAAGACCTACAGCTGCGCTCTTGCCTCCGCCAAATCCTCCTACTCCAAGGTTATCTTGGAGGCAAAGGACAACCCCCAACTTCTCTTTTCCACCACTGACTGTCTCCTCGTCCATCTTCCCATACCTCGCCCATCCTCTCCTCAAACTCCAACTGTGAGGAGATGCTGGACATGCTCGAATCTAAAATCGAGGGGATACGTTCAGCCACCTCAGCCCCGTCCACAGCCATCCCCACATCACCTCTCCCGCATGACCGACCCCCACCCATCTCCCCCTATACTCCTTTGACCCTATCTCCCTCCTCCCTCACCATGACTGGCCGCAAACTCAAACCCACCACCTGCTCTCTCAATCCCATCCCCACCTCTCTCCTCGTCTCCCAGCTCCACCTTCTGGCCTCCCTCCTGTCTGATGTCATCAACATCTCCCTGTTCACCGGTTCAGTTCCCACCCCCCTAAAAAGAGCAGTCATCACCCCCATCCTGAAAAAGCCTTCTCTGCATCCATGTAAACAGCCCTGGTCAAAGTCACTAATGAAATTCTGAACATCTGTGATCAGGGCTCCCTCTGACTCCTTGTCCTCCTCGACCTCTCTGCCGCCTTCGACACTGTCGACAACTGCATCCTCATACACCACCTCTTCGCTTTACTCAATCTTCACGGACCTGCCTTTGCCTGGTTCGATTCCTATTTCTCTCACCGTCTCCACTTTGTTGCCTCTAATGGTTTCTCCTCCAGCCCCCACACTGTCACGTCTGGCGTCCCCAGGGCTCTGTCCTTGGCCATCTCCTCTTTAATATCTACATGCTCCCCCTTGGTAACATCATCCGCAGACATGGGGTCAACTTCCACATGTATGTGGATGACACCCAATTCCATCTTTCTGCCTCCACCCTCAACTCCAGGACCACTGCTGTCCTGACAGACTGCCTGTCAGATATCAAGTCCTGGATGAGGGCAAATTTCCTACAGTTGAATGAGCAAGACTGAGGCCCTCCTGATTGGCTCACGCCAGCGCCTCAGCACCTCTGGCTCTGGCATCATCAACCTCCATGGTTGCACACTACAGCTCACCAAGCCAGTCAGGAACCTGGGGTCGTGTTCGATCCTCAACTGTCTTTTCTCCCCCACAGCCAAGCCATGACCCACTCTGCCTTCCCTCACCTCCGTAACGTCACCCAACTCTGCCACTACCTCACCCCTCAGGCCGCTGAAACTCTTTTTCATGCCTTCATCACCTCCAGGCTCGACTATGCAAACACCCTGCTTGTCGGCCTTCCCAACTCCTCCCTCCACAGGCTGCAGATAATCCAGAACTCTGCAGCCCGTGTCCTCTCCTGCACCAAACTCGTGACCCCATCTACCCCACTCTCGCCCGACTCCGTTGGCTCCTTATCCTTCAGAGGATCCAGTTCAAGATCCTGGTCCTCACATACAAAGCCCTCCATGGCCTCACCCCACCTTACCTCTGTGACCTCCTAACCCCCTACCAACCCACCCGTTCCCTCCGCTCAGCCTGCTCTGGCCTGCTGCACTTCTTCTGACCCACCCGCCCCACCATTGGCGGGAGAGCCTTCAGCCACTCTACCCCCAACCTCTGGAATTCCATCCCCCAGTCACTCCGCCTCACCCCCTCCTTAGCCTCCTTCAAGTCCCGCCTCAAGACCCTCCTCTTCGACCATGCCATCGGCCACCCCCCTTCGCCTCCCTTCCCCCCCCAACCCCAGTTCGGGTCTGGCATGCTGTACACTGTCCAGCACCTTGGGTCATCCTCCCGACGTGAAAGGCGCTATACAAATATAATCTTGTTGTTGGTTCTATAATAATAACAATCCTTGCATTTGATATGGCGCTTTTCACATCTTCTCGACGTCTCAAAGCACTTCACAGAATAAACTGTAAAGTGAATTGACCGTATATTTTTGGGCGATACGCCCACAAATAGCTGGATAAGCAACGAGAAATTTTCCAGATAATGCTTTCAATGGCAAGCTTAGTAGTTTTAGCTGATTAAATTCCAGCAGTACTCAAACACACACTCTAGGTCCCCAAGCCTTGGCTCTTGATAACCTTTGCCTAATTTTCTCCAGAAACAGGTAAGCATCCATATGTCCTTCTAGGAAGAGAGTGCATATTCCATGCTGGATATGGGAATTCCATTGAGGCTTTCATGGAACTTTTATATTAGCTTGGACACTCTTAAACACGGTGATGGTTTTCCGCATGTGTCAGACAACCAGCTGAGAAAAAAACAGTAATAGAAAACATGTTGCCACTTTGTTCCTGATGAATTGTTTGTAATTTAATGCTGTAAAAGGAATATTCTGAAATACATTTACAGTAAATTACAACAAGGGTGAGTTGGTGGAGGGAGTGCAGAGTTGCATAACATTTTAAACTCTTTTAATCCATCCAGCTCAGTTTTAGACCTGCATGACAAGCCAGAAATAAATCTGGCTGGGTCCCTGTATTTGCCTATTGTTATGTTTGGTTATTGTTTTCTTGCGAATTCATCAGAGATGAATAATAGTAGGATTACAGTAGCTTTCTGAGAGACCCAGGGATGCAACCTTGGTCATGTGATACCTGTTTATACCAGGATCAGGCCAGATAACAGCCTTTACTCATCAATCACAACTGGTCTTTTGTGTTTGTTCAGTGGCCTTCTGCAGTAGTAATAAAATGCAAAGGCAAACCAATATCCTCCTTAAATATCTCCCTCTCATGGAAAACACCAGCTTATAGCTCTTGCAGAAAAATAGGGAACCAAATTACCTTCCTTTTATCTATAAAAAGGCCAAGTTTCTTTATAATTTGTATTTTAATAGGGTTAAAATTGTAACATTTGCAATCTGGACAGGATTTGTAAAAATCATTTTCGAATAGTGTCATGGGATCTTGAATGTGAACAGGCAGACAGTCTAGCATCTCATCTGAAATTTGTCATAATTCACTGAAAAGGATTCTTGGAAGCACATTT